GTGGGTTAATGCACCAGACTGCAAAGCTATTTGAAATGCAAGGTCAGTGGTTCAAGCTCACCAGCTGCTCCTCGGAAACCCTCTATGGGTTGGGACAGAGTCAAAAGCACTTAACAACAACAAAAACAACAAATGCTCTTAAAGGAATCCTGGTATGGCACTATGAGATAAAGCACTGGACTGCAAGGTTGGTTTGAACCAAAAGATCGGCGGATCAAATTCACCAGCTGCTCCTTGGAAACTCTATACACAGTTGCTGTAAGTTGGAGCCGACTTGATGGCACTTAACAACAACAACAACAACCACAGGTCCTTATATGCAGTTCTGGTGTGGTGCTGTATGATAAGTACCACAAGGTTAATGGTTCAAACCCACTAGGTGCTCCATGGAAACCCTACACAGGGTCACTATGAGTAGGAGTTGACCTGATGGCACTTAACAACAAGAGGTCCTTATAAAGGAACCCTGGTAACATACTGGGTTACACGATGAACTGCTAATAACTATAAGGTCAGCAGTTCAAATCCACCAGCCGTTCGGAGGAGGGCGATGAGACTTTCTGCTCCTGTGGATCTGGAAACCCTATGCAGTGTTACTATGAATCCGAACCAACTTGATGGTAGTGGGGTTTAGGTTCTTACAGACACATTCTCTCCCACCAGGAATGTGGGTCCCGGAAGAGACTGGGTCAGGTTGGTACAGGGGATGGTCTGGGGGACACGACCCTGACCAAGTCCACCCAGGAGGCCCCCCAGACTTGCAAATGTGCTGCCTCACACTGGCACTCAGGTAAGCTCCACTTGTCTTACCTCAGCCAGGGCGGAAGGGATTTTCTTCTGTTTCCTGAAGGTTGAGGGGTTGATGCTGTGGAAGACGGATGAGAAGGCACTGCCCGAGAAGCGGGGGGAGGACAGAGGGAAACTCATGCTCACAGGCCGCTCTGGAACCAAGAGAAGCAGAGGCGGAGGTCAGCAGTCACAGAGACCAGAAAATTGGCCTGGAAGATCGAAGCTGCCACTTCTTTGAGCGAGTGTGACCAGACAGACAGCACCTCCCTTCTAACATGGGTGAGGGCAATGGGGGTTAGGCCAGGAAGGCCTGTGTTGTTTCTGGGTCCCTTCTACAGGTCTCAGAGTACAACAGCATGAGGCTGGGGCTGGACCACCGTCTGCTGGCTTCAGTGAGGCCCAGGGAGTGAAGGCCTCACTACCCTCCTCCAGGCAGGTCCTGCTTGGACAAAGGCTGACTCTTAAGCATAGGCTGTCAAGGTCCACTGAGCTTGGGGTTCCTTTCCATATTTGAACTGGGAAACACTTGGCCATCAGTCGTAGCAACCTTGGTCTTAAGAAGGGGACCACAGAACACAGGCCTACAGGACACTAAAGAAAAAAGGGAGTGCTGTGGTGTGGTGGTATAGAACAAGCACTCCGCCTCAAGGTCAGTTTGAACCTCAAGGTTAGCAGTTCAAACTCACCAGCCGCTCCTTGCAAATCCTATGCAGGGTCGCTCTGGGTCAGAACCGTCTGGACGGCACTTAACAATAAATGAGTCAGAACCAACTGGATGGAATTTAACATCAACGACATTCCCCTTCAGGGTTTCAAGGAGTAAAAGGAAGAGCCGTCAACTGCTGGGGGCGTTACCTCGCATCAGGCCCACGAAGTCTCCACCTCTCTTCTTCAACTTCCCGTAGCAGCCATCGCAGACCTTGGCCATCCGGTCCTTGAGGTACTTCAGGGGGTACTTGTTGCGTGAACACTTGCGGCACACGATCTGCAGGCCCAGTTGGGAACATCTGTCTGGGCGGTCCTCAACCTTCCTCCTCTGCTCCCCGCCACCTGGCCTGTCCCTTCAGGACGAAGCCATGTCCCCTGCTTTCTGGCATTGGTGGTGCCATGATTCTGTGCTGGATGACCTGCTTTCTCAGTGAGGACACTATCCCTTTTTCTCCAAGGACAATGACACATAGACTATTTTCTTTGGCTGGGTGGTACAAATAGTTAATACGGTAGGCTGCTAACCAAAAGGTAAGAGGTTCGAGTCCACCAAGAAGCACCTTGGAGGAAAGGCCTAGCGATCTACTTTTGAAAAATGCATCACTGTCAACCCATGAAGCATGGCTCACACACAGGACTTGATGGTGGAGGCTGGGGTTTTTCTTTGGAGGGTGGGATTTGGATGGGAATGACTGCTCCTCTACTTCTCCCGGCCCTAGCCCGGGGGTGCACCCACCTTTCCACAGGCGTGGCAGTGATGGCGCCTCAGTGTGAGGGAGAAGTCGCAGCCGCAGTTCATGCACATCATGACGTGGGTGACAGGCACCAACGTGGGGGGCCTCTCGCCCAGGCTCACACCCAGCCGCTCTCGCATCTGGAGCAACAGAACCAGCAGGCCGGCAGTGTGGTCAGACCCGCGGCCCTGGACCTCAGTTTCCTTGTCTCTATGAGGGTGGCACAGGTTTCCATCTCTAAAATTCTAAAACCGTGTGAAATGTCCCAGGCTAATGACGTGGCGCTAGAAACAGCGTGACTGAGTTTGTGGGTGAGGGCAAGGTGGAGGAGCCAGTGCTCTCAGGAAAGGTGCAGCAGGTCCACCTGGACAGTCCAGTGTCTCCAGGGGACCCACGCCCAGCACTCACCTCCACACTGTGGTGGAACACAGCCAGGGCTTGTGCCTTGTAGTCCTCGGGTAGGGCCCTGCTTAGACAGCTGTACCACTCGTCCCTCTCTGCACAGGAGCTATGGGAAGAGCTGGTGTGAGTTCTGGTATGTGCAGGGCCCTGCTCCCCTCCAGGACACTCCTCAGTGTACAAAGTCCCCAGCTCCCCTTCCCCAAGCCTGAGCCTTTTACATGTTTAAAATCAAAGCACCTCCATTATGAGCAGATGGCCCTTTGGGCCTGCTTCGGAGTTCCCTCTAACATGAGAGTTCTGGTAGAGTAGTGATTATGAGTTGGGCTGCTCACATCAAGATCAGCCTGTGGAAACTACCAGCCATTCAGCAGGAGAAAGATGAGGCTTTCTGCTCCCGTAAAGATTGACAGTCTCAGAAACCCTATGCAGGGTCACTATGAGTCAGAACTGACTCCATGGCACATTACCACCACCTCCACCAGGGAGCATGTGTCTGGTACTCCCAGGTGGGCTGTGGGATGGCATGACGGGTAGGTAAAACATAAAGAACCCACAGAAGCAAGGCACTGTCGAGGCTTAGCTAGCTTCCAGGAAATGTGACTCTGGTGGTACCGTGGTATGGTGGACCTCCCAATAGTAGGGACAGGCTGGCAGGGGGCGAGGACAAGCAAGGATGGGTTGGAGTTGGTGAAGGTATCTCCATCATCCTTATTTTCCCACTTAACTTCCCATTCACTCATCCAGCAAGCAAGCTTTCCAAGTTCCTGCCCTGTGCTCCGCAGGGCTTCCTGAGAGGTGAGTGACTTTCTGAGCTGTGAGCCGCCCTAGGCACGGGGTGACAGATCTCACAGTGTCCACTATGTGTCGCCCTCGCCCTTCACCTATGTGTGCAGCCTGACCCAGGATACCTCGGCAGGACTATGGACAGATCTCACAGTGTCCACAAGATGTCGCCCCCACCCTGCACCTAAGTGTGTAGCCTGACCGAGCACTCCTCAGCGGGAGTAGGGACACAATCGGACCTGAGAGGGTTGGAGGGTGGCTGGGCTTGGTACATTTTCCCCTCTGTCCAGCAAAAGCCACAGTGACTTGGTGGACAACCGATGCCATACTCCTAAGTGGAGCTGTCTGTGTGAGGAATTGGGGCTAGCAAGAAGGTGACCAGTGATGGACAGCCCACCTGAGGATGGAGTGTGCATGCCTGGTTACCACCTCACAGCTGGTCAAGCAGAAACAAAAGGCAGGCTTCCTGATGTTCCTGATTTCACTAAGACGTGAGGAGAGGCCACGGAACCCAAACCAGGAATCCTCATCTACAAATTCCCAATATGCCTTCTATCCTTGGAGGCATTAGCTCCCGGTGATCCCAGCCCTGGGGTCAGCCCCCAGTTCTGCCTCACACAGCTAGGGGCTGGGATGCTGGCCTCCTGGGGCGGAGAATCAGGGGCACCAGGCCTGAGACCCAGTGGGAGCACATTATGCCAATCACTAATTACAGTGAAACCTGGGGAAGCCAGGACCTGAATCAGGTAGAAACCTGTCAGAGAAGGGAAATGCCAATATTTCCCACTAAACAGAGAGAGCAACCGCAAAGTGGTGGCTGCACCCTGCCACAGGAGGAAAGCATGTGAGAGCTGGAGAACAAGGCAGCCCTGCTGAACTCAGTCTTCATACGTTTCCGGTTCGCGGCGGCTCCTAAAAGCGTGTGAGAGCTGGACTCATGTTCTCTGATGCGCACTACAGCCAGGCTCTAGCCTTCCTCCCGGACAAATCCAAAGGCTCAGCGTTTTGTGTTCTCAGCACTGGACCTGGCATGAGGAGGTGCTAATAAATGCTTAATGAGCAGACGTATCTATGAGTGTAAGAGTGCAAGAGTGTAAGAGTGTGAGCGTCCTGTTTCACACTCAGGATCGCCTCACATGTGTGGAAGGACAGACCTTCCCACTAATGACACCTGGGTTCATCCCATGGCCATACAATAGCAGACAGTGGAACCTAGGGCCAGCCCACCATGGCTGGCCCATCAGGTTTTGTCAGGCCCTGAAAGAGGGCCAACCTGAGGCCTGGGAAAATGCAGACACTTGTGGCACAAGTCCATGGATGATGTGGGTGATGTGTTGGCTGCTCACTGCAAGGCTGGACATTTAAGTCCACCAAGGCTTCTTGGCAGGACGACCCAGTCCCCAGCCAATGAAAGTCCTCTGCAGCACGGTTCTAATCGGAGCCAGGGTCGACGTGACAATTGGTTTACTTTTTTTCCTAGCAGAAAGGCTACACTTTCTTCTCTCCCACCCCTCAAGCTGGGAAAGATAGATGAAGAGCTTGTTTTGAATTTGGGGGCTGCTGTGAAGACCCAATAATCCATGAAGAGAGAGACTTGGTGATGCTAATCTTGCTGTTGCCGTAGGTCAATAACAGCCTCTACCCAGTCCTGAAGTTCTGTGGGATTTTATGTGTGTACACATTTTCTGCAGAGAAGAGACCCACAGTTCTATCAGACTCTCTGAGGGGTCTGTGATCCCAATGGGTGAACACACTCAGAAGAAGAAAAGAAGAAACTCTGGTCTCAAAGGATCTCTAAATAAAAACCTACGGGTACTGTGGATCAGTGTGCTGGACTGCAAGGTTGGTTGAACTACAAGGTTAGTGGTTCAAGCTCACCAGCTGCTCCTTGGAAACCCTATACAGGGCTGCTATGGGTCAGAATCGACTTGATGGCACGTACCACCACCAACAACAACAACCCAGCATTGGGTATTCCAGACTGTTCTACTTTAAGACCTAGCCACTTTATGTTCTAGGTCCTCCCACCTCCTCATACCTTGCAGACAGGGTGAGACAGGACTCGGCAGTCTCGATCCTTAGCGCATAGGGCACTTTCTCCATTACAGGACGGCTGACCTGGAAACAAATAGCAGTTCCATTGAGGGGGAGGAAGAGGAGGCCAAGGACAGGCAAGGACGGGTCTTCTCCAGAAGCTGCTTCCTCTCTGAGCTGAATGTCCTCATCTGTACCAAAGCCAGGCTTGTTTCCTACATCCAAGGCTTTTCTCAGGCATTTCTCTCATTTTAGAGGGCTCTTCCTCTCTTCCCCATTTGTGCAATTCTCATCCCATCTTGCTCAGGAAGTTCTCCCTTACCATGCTCTCTCCCTGGATGACCTGCCACAGAGCCCACTGTAACCCCGCACGGAACACTACCTTCACAGCTTATCTGTGTGTTCCTCGAGGCAGGGATGCTGGGCCCTCTTGCCCGCAGTATCCCCTCCTCCCCAGGGACTCCCCTATCTCACCACAGGGTACCTACCTTCATGCTGGCTACCACCAATGAGCTCTTCAGCCGATACTTGCCGTCCTTCTGGGGGTAAGTGTAGAGGAGCACATCGCTCATCTGGGGAGAGACGACACCTGGTCAGATGCTTCGTGGTCCAGGAAGACTGCACTGAGCCCTGGGGTGTGGAGGCATCTTGCACTTGCCAGTGACTCCACAGGGTCATAGGTAAACAGTATGCAAACGAGCAGGTGTGCTGGACCCGAGGTGCCTTTGCAGTCCCCTTGTGTTGTACCCCACTCAGTATGATGGCAGCTATGCTACATCAAACAGAATGGTCACCAGGGGTGGGAAGAAAGGGAGGTGATTCAGTGGCTACAAGGTAAACCACCTGTTAACTCGGGTGAATGGGAAGGCAGTATACAATAAGAGGGACGTTGGCAAGAAATGATGACAGCATGGCAAGACACAGGGAGGAGTGTAAGTTACAAAGGACAGAGGTACACACTGTTTATCTACACAGACCTGCAACAAAAGTGATGGACAGGTAGATGCATGGACACAGGCTGAATGGGGGTGCAGGGAGAGCAGGCATTCAACAGGATAGCTGTATGTGGGTATCCATCTCTGCTGCAAATAGATCCAGGATTATGGTGGAGCAGACAGCGGGCAAAGTAATGAAAACTTCCTAGACATTATCAAACGTCTTGAAGGAAGGAGCCACTGAGCCTGGGGTTTAAGGACCAAAGTTTCAGGGATCACTGTGGCTAACTGGTATAATACAGGTCACATAGACAATGCTCTCCATCCTATTTTGATGAGTAGCAACCGGGGTCTTAGCAGCTCATGGGCGGGCAGCATACATCTAAGGTGCAACTATTTGTCTCTCCCTGTCTGGAGGGAAGAAGAGGGATGAAAACTGAAGACACGTGGAAATAATGAAACACAGAACATCAGTCTCCATGACCCTGAGATCAGAAGACCCAGCTGGTACCCAGCTACCAACTGCTCTCAACTACCGAACGCTTTGAAGGGATCACATTAGAAGGTCTTGGATAAAGTGGGAGCAAATGTTAAACAAAGCTTAGAATGATACAAAAGGTCAGGCTCACTGGTTGGACGGAGATTGCTGGAACCCTTGAGTGTGGCCCCATAGTCATCCTTCAGGTTTGGAACTGAACTCACCTCCTAGCTTCATTTCTAGCCAAACAATAGATGGGTCTAGAAGGGGAACACTCACACTGGTGAGGTACACCCACCTTACAATAACCAACTATTGGAGATCAAATGGGCAGCGTTTACCCAAGGGTTGGAAAGAAAGAGGAATGGAAACAGGAAACAGAGGGAGAAAGTGTGACGGGTGATGTTACATGGAGGGGACTGTAATCAATGAGATGAAACCAAATATGTACGAATTAATGTCAAACAGAGGAGCTGTACTGTAAACCTTCACCCAATTCACAATAAAAGGTTCGAAACAGAAGGAGTCCTTTCCCCATATTTCTACTCCTTGGAATCAATGCTTCAACCCGTGGAGAGTCGTGCAGATTGCTCACAAAAGCTTTATTTGTAACAGCCCCTAACTAGAAACAGTGCAAGTGTCTACCAACAGGTAGTACCTAAATGGGTACAAGGGAGTATTACTTAGCTATCCCAAAGAACCAAGTGCAGACAATACAACACCTTCCTCCTTAGGAAAGTGTTTCTGCTTAGCTTAAAGGTGGGAAGTCTGAAGGACTTGTCAGTCTCAGGAAGCGTAAGAGCTGCTACCAACCCTGACCTTGCTGAATCTCCGACAAGCTGAGAGAGGAGGCAAACCCAAAAGAGCTCACATGATTGGACCACATTTGTAGGAAGTTTTAGAAACCAGGTTAGTGGTTGCCTAACCTGATTTCTAACAGAACATTATCTGTTATGGTCGCAGAAGACCAGCTGTCTACGTTGGGAGATAGGTCGTGGCCACAACAAGGGGTCTGAGCACACAACCATTGTGATGGTGGTGCAGACCGGTCAGTACCGCCCTCAGCGGTACACAGGCCGCTGAATCGGAGCAGATCCCAGGGCAGCTGTCAACAACTCTGCAGAGATTAATCCTTGATAAAATAGAGTTCTGGAAGGAAAACAGGGAGGGAGGAAGAAAGATGAAAGGAAGGGAAAGGAAAGAGGGAAACTCCTTGAAGCTGGGCTCAGGTGGGCCTTTCACTGCACACCCCCAGTGCCTGGATGAGAGCGGAGTGAACGGAGCTAGCATGGTGCTGTGTGGACAGGAAGAAACAGAATGCCAGGCCCATCAGCTCCTGAGGACAGAGCTTCTGCCGAGGTGGAAACGCTGAAGAATGCTGTCCTACTGCAGTGAAGCAAAGACGTCAGTTCCGACCCAGCTGTGTGGCTGTGGATAAGTCCTTTCACCTTTCTGAGCCTCAGCTCCCTTGCCTGAGTTATAGGGGCATTTCTGATGCCAAGAGAATAGGTGGCATCCCATCCAGGAAGGCCTCTGGGCATGATGGCCCACTGAAGCCAGGGGTGTGGGGAGGACTGAGCAGGATGGAGCATCTAAGTGTGTGAGCTGGAATAAGAACTCAGGATTGACTCTGCCCACCCTGCCTGTCTCCTAACAGCATCCTCTGGGAACAGAGGTGTGAGTCCTCCCAATGCTGGCTCTTCCGGGAGCCCTAGGGTCACAGGTATTGCAGAGATGGCTGCGGGCTCCAGCCTGGCCAGGTAGCCTCAGGCAGTCCCTTCCTCTTTCTGGGCTGCATGCACCCTCGTGAGGTTGGGTTAGACCAGTGTGGGTCATCAGTGTTTGCGGCAGCACCCTACTCTGCCTCAGTAACACACAAGGAGTCACAGACAAAATACCAATGAGCAGGCGCAGCTGGACCAGAGGAACGTGCAGAGCCACTCCTGTTCCATTTTGCTCAATGACAGCAGTTACCTGGGAAACCCTATACAGGGTAGCTATGGGTCGGAACTGACTCGACAGCACTTAACAACGACAACCCTACATCCAAGAGTCCTGGTGTGAAACGGCAGGATAAGCACTGGACAGTTAACGGTAAGGCTGAAGGTTCAAACCTACCACCCACTCCTCAGAAACCCTATACACGGTCACTATGAGTCAAAACCAACTTGACAGTACTTAACAAACAACAGCAACACTCACTCTGCCAGACACTCGGTTCAGCATCTGACAGTCCTATCAGGCAGGCACTCACTTCCCAGAGGGACAAACTGAGGCACAGAGGGGTCACAAAGCTGGAGGTGGTGAAGTTGCCAGGGTTCAATAAGCGAGTATGTCTCTACTGCATTTGTGTGTGCTCCGTGCATGTTGTGAGGATGAGAGTTGTCCTGCAGTGAATCCTGGCTCGACCTGGGACAGTTACCCAAACTGGTCACAAACCCTTGCTCAGCAGCCCATCCCACACTTGGAAACTCGCTGTATAACTCACCTGGATGGTCCCAACCTTGAGCACCTGCTGCCATGGCAACTGCATCAGCACCCTGATGTTTCATTAGTGGTCTAGGACCATGTTCTCTCTTAGTTGTGGGCTGCTGGCAGCCCTCTTGCCCTTGTCTCAGATGAAGGAAGAGGAGTTCTTTATGTGGGGGTGGGGGTTTCCTACAATCCCAAGTCAAAGTAGGCGGCCAGCCTACCAGCTCTGGGCAGAGGGGTGTTGGGGATATGAGACCCCAGTGCACAGGGGGCTGATGCCATGAGTGTCTTACAAATCAGGTGATTTTTATGAAGCTGGCACCATAGAAGGAAGAGTCTTCCTCAAGAGCATTTATCACGGCCCTTCTGGTTCCAGAACCCCGCTCTCCATCTCCTCCCATCTATCTCTCTCTCCAACTGGCAGGTCTCATGCTGGGATATAGAGGAGACCCAGGAAGGATCTCAGAGAGATGCAGGCTGTCGTCAGAGTGAGGTGGGCCTGGGGGAGGGAAGGCAGGCACGAGGCACCACCTGAGTATCTCAGAGCAGCTGGGGCACAGAGTTCTGGGCAGAGTTCAGGCAGAAGAGGCTGGTTCCTACGAGAGGGTCAGGGACAGGCTGAGCACGGTCTGATGGGAGATGGCTGAGGATGAAGCTGGCCCTTCACAAGTACTCCTCACTCACTTACAGGAGGCCTCATCACCCACTTTAAAGAGAAGGGTGCCAAAGCTCCAGGAGGTCTCCTTAGAGAATGTCAGAGCTGGGACTTGTATCCGGTTCGTCTGAATTCTCATCCCCACCCTCCAACTGAAGAAGGGATGTGAGGAGACCCAGACAAGAGCTCCCAGCCTCTGCAGGGCTGTGCCCCACGGGAAAGCTGTCAGAGACAAGGAGGGTGTTGTCATCAATACGTGGCTTCTGTGTGCCAGGCATGGATGGCCTCTTGTTTCATCCTCAAAACCATCGGTATTTCCACTTCCCTGGTGGGAAGCCCTGAAGCTCAGTCATGTTAGTGACCTGTCTGAGGATCACTGAGGAGTAGTGATCAGGTCAGCATCTAAGTAACCCAGTTTGGCTCATTACTACACGGGTATCTATCTGTACCTTCAGGGAGACAGCTCTCTCCTCAAGAGGAAGAGTTTTCAAATATGTAGACTCATCCAACTCATATGGAAACCCTATACAGGGTCCCTATGAGTCAGAACCGCCTCGACAGCACTTAACAATAACAAAACAACACGGAATAGGAGCCAAACATGGAACAGGTAGTGCAAACAGTTAACATGCTTGGCTAATAACCAAAAAGTTTGAGTCCACTGAGAGGGTCCTCAGAAGACCCCCGGAGAGTCCCTGTAAATCAGAGTCAACTTGACAACAAACGGTTAACGTGGAACAAGTCACTGCTGTCCTCACTGGACTTGATGGAGCCACACACTCAGGCTCTGGGCCGGCAAGAGATCAATAAGGAGTTAAAGAGTGCATGAATGTTACAACAGAAAGTGAGCTCCCCATCACCAGAGATGCTGAAAGAGTTTGGAAGTATGTTTCAGTGATGAATGTACAAGACTGTGAATATGGCCATGCCACTGAATTGCACAGCTAAAAGAAAGAAAATGGCAAATTTTATGTTATCTACATTTGAAAAAAAAAAACACAACCAACACTTAGAGAGAGCTATGCAGTCGTCTGTTGGGAGCTTTTAGAGCCTCTGAGAACTTAAATCTGGGCTGTGCACTGCTTGGCCCTCACTTGGATTTCTTTGCCAGCTCCGCCTCTTGTCTGTAGCCAGGCTGCAGTTCCAGCCAGGCAGAGTGGGGGCGCTGCTGAGGGGGAGCAGAGGGGCTCACTAAGCCTGGGCCTCAGGAAAGAAGCCACTGACAGGCTGGGGACAGCAGATGCTCCCATGAACGGTGAATGACTCAGCCCCATCAGCGGTCTCTGCAGTTCAGCCCACCAGCACCTACTCTGGGGAAGATGGTATGGGACACGGTTGAGACGGGGCTTAAGAGTAGAAGGGTCTGACCATCTGGATCTAAGAATGTCACAAATCCACAGTGGTCCCCAAACACACCACACCATCCTCACTTCCCTCAGGAGCTCAGGCAATTGGTTCCCTCTAGCTGAAATGCTCTTCCTTTGTGCAAACTCCTAAGCTGCTCCTTCAGGGCTGAGCTGAGGTATCACTTTCTCCAAGAAACACAAAACAAAGCACAGAGTTTGTTGTTAGTGGCCTTGAGTCCACCCCTGATTCATGGAGACGCCATGCACAATAGCATGAAATGCTCTGGGTCCTGCTCCATGCCCAGGATCACTTGTAGATCGGACAACTGTGATCCATACGGTTTCTTTCAACTGACTGAATTCCAGTAGCTACCCTGGCCTTTCTTCCTAGTCTATCTTTATCTAGCAGCTCCACTGAAACCTGGTCAGCATCACGGCAACACTCCAGCCTCCACTGACAGAAGGGTGGCAGCTGTGCTTGAGTGCACTGACTGGGAATCAGGCCAGGCCTCTGCCTGGAAGGCGAGAGTTCTACTGACCCCCAGCAGAGTCCAGCACTCAGTAAGCGCAGCATTAATGTCAGCTCCGATGCTGCTGGTGTTCATCCTTGTAGTCCCTGATTCCCCTTGGTCCTCTCTACTCATGTGGCTCCATGAAATGTCCGCTACAGCATCCTTACGTTATATTTACAACTGTCTGCTTAGCTGTTTCTCTCTCCCATCGACTCTAAAAGTTGAAGGTAGGGAATGTGACTTTTATCTCTTGGTTTCCAGTCCTCAGCACAAAGAAGGTAGACATCTGAAACTGGCAGTTCACAGGCCCACACGCACATAGTCCATTGACTATGACTATCAATGCAATTCTACCCCTGGCAGGCTTCTCAGCCTTCAGCTGATACAAATTCTGAGGAGGATGTTGGAGGCAGCCAAGACAAGAGGGAATGACAACTACAAGTAAAGGGGGAAGAGAAAAATTATACTCAGCAGACAGAAGCCCTTAAAAAGCGCAATACTTGGGGTCAGAGGTTTGAAAAAGAGTTACTTCTAGTCCAGTAGCCACTGAAGTTGATAATTCTCCACACTCTGGGTCCAGACCTTCCCTGGTTATATGAACCATCAGAACTGTTACTGACAGTCAGAAAGCACTGCACTGAGGACACAATCCTGAATCCCTTTCTGGGACTCTGCCAACAACCTGCTGGGTACTTGGCTGAGTCAGCTTCCTTCTCTGGGCTTGGTTTTCCCAGGCATTAAGACAGTTACTCCCAGTTCAAGCATTTCCTAGTTTTTGGTTGCTGAGTGTAAAGACATGGGTGATTACATTTTAGCAAAATTCCACTCAAAATCATTCAAAGAGCAAATAAATGATGGTTTGTGGTTTTCAAGGGTTCAGCTCTGGGCTTTCTGGAAAGTTTAACTGTAATGAATCATCCTTATCCTAGAGATTCTGCTCTGCTCGATTTTCCCTCCCTTTCTCCAGCTATCCCCAAGTACTGGCCCTAGAAAACGTCACCAAACTTGACAGCCCCGGGACATGGTTTTGGGGCCAGCTACTTACCAAAAACAGGTGCCGTGGGCGTCTGTTTTTCCCTGTTACTTTCATCAGCGTTCCTTCCTTCAGAAACTCCTATGGGAGAAGCAGAAGTCAGTGACCAGGCCGATTCCATGATCTGTCCCAAGGAAGTGGAGGGCAACATTTCTCCCTTGTTGCTAGGGACAGAGGAGGGAGGCCCTTAAGTGGAGGACTTATATAGTAATCTCTCCCTGAGTATCAGCACAGTGCAGTGGATTACTGAATGTCTCTTCTTGCCACTGTCTTTGTACTCCCACCAAATGACTCTTCCTGCTGGGTCCGGGTAAGAGAAGAGGGGAGAAGATACCGATAGGATGGCATGATTCATCTGAGGATGTTAGCAGAGTTCACTTTAACAGTAAAAACCTGAAAGTCTAGCATGGGTATAAAAGCAGCTATCTCAGAAGCAGGAGTGCAGATCTTACTACCACTGAAGAAAAAAGAGCTAGGAGTGGAATACATTCTTTGGACCCTGAGATTCCTGCTCGCGGACCCACTTCAAGCCAGAGACAGACAGCTGTGACACCAGAGGAGCTGCAGCAGAAGCAAGAACCAGGGCAGGAGACAGAGTACTGACCTCCCAGCCCACAGAGCAAGTGAAGCTGACTGACTCTGGGCAGGAGGCTTGCTTGCAGCATGCGATGTCTCCAGGCACTTAACTGGGGCTAGAGCCGAGTGCCTTCAGGTTGAGGCTTATCACCGACTGGTGTGCCCTGTGGGCATTCATCAGCAGTCCTAAAAGACCTTTGCTAACACTCCCTGGGTAGACAGAGGCCTGCCTGTGGACACAGCTGAGAAGAGGCTGTCAGGACTGGAAGAACTGCGTCCCAAGCAGTTTCTGATCCTGTATTGTAACTGTTAACCTCATAATAGTGAGTGCGGTGTCTTGAGTTCTGTGTGCCACTGCAATGAATCATGGAACCGAGACAAGTCGAATGTGCTGTGGGAGTGATGGCTTGATTTGATGCCACTTTTGCTGTAATTGGTATCATTCTTACAATCCAAGAGACCAGCTTGTGGATGTTCCTTGCTTAGAAGAGCTGCTCTGTGTATGAAAAAGCAGTTTCTGAAGGTAGTGAGGCGTCTTGGTCTTCCAGGGGCACTTTGCCATGCAGTGTACCAAGCGTCAGACACCATCTGGCCACAGAGAGGTCCAGACAATGACTCCTTCTGCAGGTCCCCTGGTTCTGGAGACTACAAAAACACCGAACCAAACCTAGTGCTGTTGGGTTGAATTGGACTCATAGGAGATGCTTAACTGACCAGGCCAGAATGTCCCAGATCAGTGAAATCCAGGCTAATGTTGACTACAATCTCTTGAGTGCAGTCTTTCATCCCTTTACCTCTGGTCCATCCTTTGTAGACTATAGCAGGCAATGAGCATATTTTTCACCATTTATTGAACTGAGTTTTATGCTTTCCATTTGGAAGCTTAAAAATGGGTAAACTTGTCTCTTGAATGGCCCTTTTTTAAAAAAATGTTTTTTGTGTGAATTATGTGATAGTTTACATGGGAGAATATTAACTTTACATTTATCTTATCGTATGTATATCGTTTCATTGCGATGGTTACAATCCCCTCCATGCATCATCAACCAACCAAAGGTATACTCTGCAAGCCTGCCCTTATCCCCGGTCATCAGCACACAGTCCCTCTCCATCTCTCCACGTCATCGTCTCTGCCTCCTTGAATGCTATTTTTAAGATGCTTATCCAACTGGCATGCCCAGAGAGCCAGTGCATCTGTGGAAAACCCCAATGGGGGCAGCCCATGGGTCTGGGTGAACCCAGCAGTCAGAGGCCCTCCCCTCCCTCCCTGGGTAAACAGCACCTGCAGCCAGGCCTGTCTGGGGCCAGCCCAGTGGAACAATGGGGCTTATCAGTCCACCCTCTGCTTCTGCCCACTGGCGGCGGCAGCAGCAGCACTCACCCTTCCTGGCTGGAGGAGATCCCCTTGGCCCTGGACACTGTACTCGATGTGGACCAGCTTCTGCAGATTTTCCTGCCATGAGAGGGGGACATGGTTAGACCATGGGGTCTCATCTCCTCTGCAAGGGGGTGGCACTGCTTCTGTTTCATAGGACAATGAGGTCCAGAAAGGCCATCCCTCCATCCCACCTCCTGTCAGCAGCAGGACCAGGATTTGTGCCCAGCTCTGTCAGATGTCAAGCTTTGGGCTGTCTACAGTCAGGCAAGTTCCTCCAGACCTCGGTCCTGACACCACCAGCTTTCTGTGTGCCACAGGGATGCCTGTGTGCCAGCCTAGAGTGCTGTTTGTCTCTGGACCACTGCACCTGCTCCACACCTGTGCCCCTCATGAGACCAGAGTATCTGTTTTCAGTAACCTGTGATGACAGACGCCCAGGGTTGAATTCCATCCTCCTAGATTGCAGACTGTGGTGAAGACTTGGAGGGAGAGTAATCTTTGGAAGAAGCTGGTTCTGTGCCTCTTGACACCTTATGGTTAGAGAAGTAAGTGTGCCTGGGAATGGAATTTCCTGCCAGTCTCCTATAGGATTTATGTTCCTCCTACTCTTAAAAGGCACACAGTGTATGTAAGGCAGCATACCGCTCTCCTCTGTACAGCACCTCATAATACTAAAAATATCAGTTATAAATATGTAGTCAGCACATTCTGTGTACCAAGCCCTGAGCAAGACACTTATGTGCCTTATGGGACCCCAAGGGAAAGGCGCAGTTGAACCTTACGTAGGGTCTCGTTCTAACATCAACTAATAAGATTGACATTCTAGAGAAATCACTTTGAAAGTCTGTTATGTTTTTGTCCGTAGTTTTAAGCATAAAATCGACCCATAAAAAATATGTAATAGTTCTGCTTCTACTTACGATGGAGAAAGCTGCAAGAGAACACTGCTCCCATTGCTAACAATGAGAAAAAACCAGATAGTCTACAAAATCTTAACCTTTGAAGCCTGATATGGTGCTGTGGGTTAATACGCTGGGCTGCAAAGTCACTTTGAACTGCAAGGTTAGTGGCTCAAACTCACCAGCTGCTCCTTGGAAACCCTATACAGGGTCGCTATGGTTCAGAACTGACTCGGCAGCACTTAATAACAACATCAGAAAGCTGAGGTTACTGGGCAACCAACCAAACTGAATTTCAGAGAGTGGATAGTTCCTCTCAGGACATTCCAGGATAGAACGGTCACATGTTTGGTAATACGCAGGAGGCAGAGGTGTTTGGCATAATAAAGGATGAAAAGAAAGCAGCTAAAATGTTAATGAATTCATAAAGGTCAAGTGTGGGCTGGTGTGATGGTTTAGAACATCAGGGAGTCCCACACACCAGGGACTTCTGGGCTCATTTGCAAGCTCTTCTCTACTGAGTTTCCACCTGGTGCTCACAAGAATGATTAGAGGCAAGGCAGGAGGCCAGAAAAAGTCCCCTTTGCTGGTGTAGGCATGCAGCCTGCTGAGGGGCTGGCGCAAAACCCCACACACCCCTCTCCCATACAAAGCCACAAGGCGCCAGCCATTGGGAAGGCTCAGGAAATGCTCCCACCTCCACAGACCAGGCAGGGAGGCCATACTTCTGATAACAAGAACTAGCAGTGTACCTCTGAGTACGGTAAGACCATGGAGAGAGAGAGCCCTTCTGTGGTGTAGAGACTGATACAAGGTCAGCATGGAGCAGGAGCAGGAGGAAACCCCCTAACACTGCAGGACCCAGAGAAAGCACAAAGGAGCAGCAGCCCACTGATGGAGGAACACAAAATCTGTGGTGCATTGAAGGTGACAACAAAACCCAAACACAGCCCAACTACTGACTAGACTGACTCAAGCACTTCTGTACTAATGGCAACCATTTCTAATTATAAATTACGGTTTACCTGGATCGACAGTTCTTCTATACAATAATGTGTGACATTCAATAGAAAATTTAGTGAAACACAAAAACCCCAACAACAACAAAATACTCACTGAGTTCTGAGTCAAGCGAGAAAATGTTTAACGAAACAAGTCTGAGAGAGAGAGCAGCTGAGGACTCTAGGCCCATGAAATGAAAAAGGCTGTGTATCTGCAGGTGGGAAGCTGACTTGCAAATTGTGCCCTTTGGACATTTAAACAAATATAAATATACATCTTCTGTGTGGTATGTGTACACCAAAAAAAGAAAAAAAAGTAGATATACTGTTAACTGATGGTACATGGAGAGGACTGTAATCATTGTAATGAAACAAAATATGGTGTGTTGAATTTAAAACTGATCATCTGTCCTGTAACCTTTCACTTAATTCAAAATAAAAGCTTAAAAAAGAAATCATTACTGGTGACGAGACATGGATTCATCACTATGAGCCTGAGAGTAAAAGACAGAGCATGGAATAGAAACGTCCTCAATCACCAACGAAGAGAAAGTTCAGAAGTCAACCAACCATCAGCTGGAAAATTGATGCTTACCACTATTGGAACACTATCAGGAAAAAGGTTCAACAATCAACAGTACTCGCTACAGTGAGATGCTCACTGAAGAGCTGAAGTCTAAATTTTGAACTAAATGAAGAGAACTGATATCCAAGGATGCTGTGATCTTGCATGACAATGCAAATCCACACACCTCTGTCCACACAGTTGGTACGCTGCAAAAACTTTGCTTTGAGATATTAAAGCACCCTCCCTATAGTCCTGATCTTGCTCCACTGGACTTTCTTTGAGGACGAAGATGTACCTCTGATGAAGAAGCGAAGACAGTGTGCATTTGTGGTTCGCAGCTCAGGCTAAAACATTTTCAAAATAAGGGAATATGGAAGTTTGTTGCCAGATGGACAAAGTGTATTGAAAAGCATACAGATTATGGTGAAAAATGATCTGTTTGTCTTTTCTAAAGGTTGATTAAAATTAATTCTCCAGCTAGAGTGTGGATCACTTTTGACTCATCCTTGTAGATAAGGGATGTTGGGAGCCAAAATCAAAGCCAGTGCCACAGAGTTGTGACTCATTGCGATCCTGGTTTTGTTCTTGTTATGTGCCAATTCACAGGGACCCTGCATAGGGGTTCTGAGGCTTTAAATCTTCTTGGGAGCAGAAAGCCTCTTTCTTTCACAGAGCAATTAGCGGGCTCGGACTGCGGACCTTATGGTTCTCAGTGCATTGCGTATTGTACAAAGCCACAGTGCACCCATTTACGTTGATGCTGTTGGTTGTTAAGCGCCGTCGAGTCGGTTGTAACCCATAGCAACCCTGTGTAGGGTTTCTGAGGAGCAGGTGGTGAGCTTGAACTGCTAACCTTGCAGTTCAAACAACTTTGACGCCTGGCGCATTAATCCACAGCGCCACACCAGGAGTCCCTTATGTAGATACTGTACCCTAATGTGGGGAGCATCACTCCCTACTCCTTAAGTGTGGACTGTGCATGGTGACATCAAAGCATGGATGATAAACACGACAAGCATGGCCAATGTGTCAAGGTCATTATCAACAGTGACAAGACATGTTGACAGCATGTGAACTTGATATGACATTATGGTGATCTTCTCAGAAACCCACATCCCTCATCAAATCAGAAACATTCCAACTGAGGGGCATCCTACAATATTCCTGACCAAGCTCCTCAAGAGCAAGGCCAGTCTGTGAAATTGTCACAGTCATCTGGAACCTAAGAAGACAAGACAACTAAAAGCATCTGGTATCCTAGATGGGGGCCCTGAAAAGAAAAAGGACATTAGGAAAAAACTAAGGAAATCGGAATAAAGTCTGGCCTTCATTCATACTAAGACATCATTATTAATGAGCTGTGACAAACGTACCCTACTAAGAAGATGTTATTCACAGGAGAAATTAGAAGTGTTGTGGGCTTCAAGGACTCTATGGTTTATCTTCACAGTGATTCTGTATATATACAACTGTTCTAAAAATGAAGCCTATTAAAAACCTGAAGGTGAATTAAGGACTTTTTCAGAAAATGACATGCCCAGACTTTGCCCACGTCCCCTGATACTGTCTTTGTAAAGATAAGATATTTTGCTTTCATACTATAAAGACTGTTGTGTGTCATAGAAGACGGCAATCAATTGCTGTTATAGTTAACTGCTGTCAAGTCAGTTCCAACCCATAGTGACCCAGAATAGGGTTTCTGAGGAGCAGCTAGTGAGCTTGAACTGCTGACCTTGCAGTTCAAATGGCTTTGCAGTCTGGCGCATTAACCCACAGTGCCATTTGCTTGAATGCCTAACCTTGTAAACAAATGCATGATTTTTGTCCAGAGGCTTAGCCTCAGTCATTGTAGTTAGAACCAAGCTAGAACCAAGAATCAGAGAGATTCTTACTTTTGACAAATTTGTGACTACATATCATGACTAGGTTCCTTTGAATAACACTACTGTGGGTTAATGCGCTGGACTGCAAAGTAGGTTTGAACCACAAGGTCGGCGGTTCAAGCTCACCAGCCATTCCTCGGAAACCCTATGGGTCGGAACCGACTTGACGACACTTAACAACAACAATAAAACAAATGTGGGAAAGAGAAAAATGGCTTTGTGTGTGCATGCGAGTGAGCCGGTGGTGTGTATGGGAACGTGGAGATGTGTTCATGAACGAGCGTCTGTGAGGCTGTGGGTCTGAACCCACGTGTGCTATGCACAGGGAAGGTTGGCCTGGTGCTTAAAAAAGACCTGAGTTCAAATACAGCTCTCATACTGATGGCCTAATGACCTTGAGTCCCTGGGCGGGCCAAATGGTGAACATGTTCAGCTGCTAACCAAAATGCTGCGGGTTTGAGTCTACTCAGCACAAAGGGCTGGCAGTTTACTTCTGAAAAACCAGGCACTGAAAATCCTGTTGCACAATTTACTCTGACACACAGGAGGTCGCCACCGATCGGGACAGACTCAGTCCCTTTCTCTTCCTGTGAAATTTGGCTACTAGTCCTTCCCTGGTAGGGTCTTTGTGAAGGTATAAAGCAGCTGGTACTGCGCCCGCAAACAAGTTTTCAATAGGGGGAGCCGTTGTGTTATCATCATGATGACAAACGCTACGTGGGAATCTATTCCAATGGATCCTGTAAAGCAAGTGAAGGTAACACTCCTCATCCTGTCTTTTAGAGGATTCCCATCTATCCCTGTCCTCCTCCCTCCACCAGAACCTGAGGCTACAGGGTGCACAGGTGCTCTCCTAGATCGCAGCTTCCAGAGATCCTCTGACCCCTCCCAGGGAGTCGCATGCTGGTTTGGCCGCTATGACTTTACCCAAGTGTTTAATGGTGAGACCTCTGGCAGTGTGGCAGGAGGTAGGTGGGCCGCATTTGGGTAGAGGCTTGGGGTCATACCTCTGCCTTAGCTACCTAGTGAGGAGTTCTGGCCATGGTGAATGCTGCCTTCTCTGATCTTCACAACGAATAACTATGTTCAAAACTCTCCTGGTGTGGCGCTATAGGATCAGCACTGGACTGCAAACCACAAGGCCAGCAGTTCAAAACTACCGGCTGCTCCTCGGAAACTCTATACAGGGTGGCTATGAGTCAGAACCAACTTAAAGGCACCACCAACAAACTCTTCTGAAGGTGATGTGGGCCCTGGAAGGCTTCCCAAAAAGGAGGACTAGCAGCAGCAGACATGCTTTAAAAGCTCACTCTGGCTTTAGACAGAGAATGGACTGGTAGAAGAACAAACAAGATGGTGGATCGGGTGGAAGTGCAGTAAGAAGCTCCATCAGCAACAACACAGAATACAGGACCAAGCAGGCTCAGGGGATGGTCCCAGAACGCTGATCCACATATAAAGGAATATTTAGAAGGTTGGAAGGCTTACAGCTAGGAAAATTTGTAACAGAAACAAGAAATCCATTGCTTTCTAATTCAAGACGCTCAGCTGCTCCAGAAGCCGCCATCTTGGTGAGACCATGCAGGGGAAGGATCAGAACAGCCATGGATGCCTGACAGAACCGCAGAGATAAGGTGTGGACATTCTTCTCTTTTGGTAGCTGTTCATTAGTCCCTTGCTGTCTGAGCACATCCATTCTGGTGACTATAGGGATGCCTGAGCTAGTAGACACCGCAGCCCCACTCTTGAGGGTTCTACTACGCATGCGCACAGCTCTCCTCGAGATTTAAAGAGAAAGTTTCCAATTAAAATCAAACGGCCACAGCTGGCCCTGAACTGTTTATAATTGGAAAAAAGGCCTGAATGGGGATTGCGAAGCGGGACAGACAGACTAAAAAGGAAATAGTATGAAAATTAAATCCTAAGTTATGTCAAAACGACCAACAGTGGTATCTTGAAATTCCTCAAGAAGAAGAGTGTAAAGGGAAGCTCATTTCCTGATCACTTTACCTGGAGGCAATTAGAAAGCATAAAAAAATCCCAAAATACATACCCATCTAATTATTAAGGCCACAGATAACCCCTGAATATGCTCCCAAAACAGAAGCAGATGACCATATCTGCACATGTCCAGAAACGAGATAAAGTGACTGAGGCAAATGAGCTGGAAGGAGACCTACACTCCATACTGGAAGATGGGCAGGCTTTGGAAATGCCTGAGAAGGAATTCAAAAAAATGATTATAAAATATATAAAAACACTATAAAATGGAGTTGAGAAATAAAAGGAAGAGAATGGACTGGTAGCCAGAAACCAAGAGAGACCTGTAGCAACAGACCAAGTGCACAGGTTTCTTCCAAACAAATATAAATAAACTTGTCTGCGAATAGTGGATGGCTGCAGACAAGTTCTCTCAGTGATATACTTGCCTTAGCCTCGCTAGGAAACCTTAAAAAACAAAACACATCCAAGCAAAACACTGACTTCCTAGGGGATCTGACGGGCCAGTTAAACTCAAGGCAGAGAGTTCAGCTCAGAAAGCTATGGTGACTGTATTTTTGGCATCCTGAAGTGGTCATCTTGATAGATTTTCTCTAAGGACACAGGATAATCACAGGGTCTTATTATGAAGTTTGAAGAAAGTTGCACCGAGGAATTTTCCCCATCCTGACATTGCACCTGTTCATTAGGAAGGGTTGTTCTACAAGGAACTGCATTGGGAAACTACCTCATCCACTCTCCAGTCCTGATCTTGCCCCTTTAAACGTCTTTTTATTCACAAACTCAAAGAACATTTAAAAGGAACACACTTTGGGTACCTCAAGGAGACCAACACTTGATTAAAGCGAGTAGAATTCTTTGGGGAAGGGTTAGAGAGATGGAAACAGCACATTGAGAAGTGGACAGACCTAGATGGACATTACGTCAAGAAGCAATAGCTTCACATGCTGATATTTTTGCTTAATAGAGGTTTCTATGATTCTGTAGTAATACTTTTAAACTTACCTTGCACGTGGACTCATAAAACCATGGAAATCATTCAAATGGAGTAGGCATATGAGATAAATTTTGCCATCTTTGGCAGAAACCCAGAAAACCCACTCAGCTACACTGTCAGATTGAGACAAGCACTTAGAGGCCACATACTCTAGTGGTTCTCAAACTTCTATGGGTGTCAAATTTACCTGGGGTGCTTGTTAACAACGTACATCACTGGACCCTACCCCCAGAAGTTCTGACCTGACAGAGTTGACGTGTGCCTAGGAATTTATAGTTTACAGAGCATTCCTGGTGCTAATGCAGATGGTCACAGACCACATTCGGGCAATACTTTTCCAGTCTGTGCAAGTCTGTCACTACTTTTGTTATTCCAGTGGTGGACCTGTGACCCAGAGAAGGACACTTAGCACCGGACGTCACCCAGCAAGCATCATGCCAGAACCCAAAGCTCTTTGAGTGGTCTTAGGAGGCAGATGTCACCCGAAGCCCTCAAGGCAGGCCCATGGCAGGAGTAGAGGAGGGTCTTGGAACATGTGCTCACAGGAGGTAGTAATGGGCCCCACTTACCCCTTGCTCCATGCTGTCGTGGACACAGTCTGTGACTTTGGAGATAAGGGTCAGTGCTCCTGCAGAAGGAAGCAGAGCAGACAGCCAGGAGGTATGGTATGGAGAGGGCCAGGCTCCTTGCTGCCATGGTTACCCCCTCCCTGGCTGCATGCCTCCCTGTTCTACCTCTGACACTTCCCAACATTGTTGTCATGGCAGGACCATGATGGTGATGGGCCCACTCCTCCTGAGTGGAGACTGTGCTAAGATAGGAACTGCCCTGGAAGGACAGCCACACAGAATAGGGAGGAGAGAGGCTGGACATCGGCCATCCCAGTCTCTTCCCGTGGTTGAGGTCAAGAGGGGATCATCCCTAAAGATCCAGAGATGCCCTGGGAGGTTCATATCCAGAACACACCCAGGTGCTGTCCTGGAACTGGGAATTAGTAGAGAGGACACGGGGGGGACGATGGCCCCAAACTGGAACGTGTTCCCTTCTGTCTGTGCATGCCTGACTTACCCTGAGTGTTCTGATATTCTGTCGAGTCCGGGCAAAGGTTATTGAGATAGTCTGTGGGTAGAACATGAGTCTGGAGTCAGTTAAGACCTGGTGAGGCCAGCCCCTCCTGTTCACACTGTGGCCACCCTCTCTCTCCAGAGATGTACAGTTCCAGAAGAATGGGGTGACCACTCTCCCACCTCTGTAGCCCCACCACCACACACTAGCAGAATACCAGGTCCCCGTGGCCTCCACCGCTCGTAACTCACTAACTCAACAAGCACCTAAGGAGGGCCCACTGTGTGCCTGCACCTGTACTATGTCTGTATAGTACAAGGTTACACCTGCCGTCAGGATGCACACGGTCCACTAGGGGAGGTAAAAGTGCCATTCCTCACAGGAAAGTGCGATGTGGCAGACCTTCAACAACATGTTCCAGGGTCTGGCCCCCGCTCCAAATACATCCTCCCCTTCACTTGCTCCATATGGGCATTCGTGTTATTTCTTGAACAGGTCAAGATTGCTCCTACCCCAGCCCCTTGTACTTGCTACTCCTAGCAATCTCTTCTTCCATTCCTTTATCTGGCTCATGCCCTCACTTCAGTGAGATCTGTGTTCAGTGTCACCTCCTCAGAGGTCTTCCCTGGCCACCTGTCCTCTCTGTCACCTTTACCTGGTTTACCTTTTTTTTTTTTTAACAGATGAGTGAGAACTTCCAGCTCTATTTTCTATTTGTATTCCATTAATTCCTGGAGTCTTGCTTCCCACCAATGCCTTCAGTGCAGCTTGGACTTCTTCCTCCGTACCATCGCTTCCTGATCATATGCTACCTCTTGAAGTAGGTGACTAGCAACCAATTCTTTTTGGTACAGTGACTCTGTATATACCTTCCATCTTCTTTTGATGCTTCTTGCATTGCTTGATATTTTTCCCATAGAATTCTTCAATATTGTTTGATTTTTGATTTTAGTTCTTTCAGCTTAAGAAAATGCTGAGCATGTTCTTCAGTTTTGATTTTCTAATTCCAGATCTTCGCACATTTCATTATAATACTTGACTTTGTCTTCTTGAACTGCCCTTTGAAATTTTCTGTTCAGCTCTTTTATCTCCTGATTTCTTCCAATCTCTAGTTTTTCTATGCTGGAAAACTAGTTTCAGAGTCTCTTCTGATACCTGTTTTTGTCTTTTTTTTCTTCCCTGTTTTTTAAAGCTTTTATTGTGAACTGAGTGATTGTTTATACTGGAGAACATCAGTTGTACACTCATCATTTAATTGCAATGATTACAATCCCCTCCATACACAATCATTCAACAATATTTGCTTCTATTCACTCTGGGTTTGCTTTTTGGGAGGGGGGGGTGAGGAGATGTACACAAAAACACTCAGGAATATATAATAATTTAAACAACCAAAGGGCACATTCTGCAAGCTTGCCTCCTGGCTGCCAGCACCCAGTCTCTCTCTTTCTATGAGTCTACAGTCCCTCAGCTGCTCTCTCTCTCCATGTCATCATCGCTTGCCTCCATCTCTGATGTCACTGCTTCTCTCTTCTCCCTTCATGGTCCTAGGGTCTCTGCTTGTGCTCTTCTCCCTTCATGGTCCTAGGGTCTCTGCTCCAGGACTGTAAGGTTAACGACTCCCCACTTTTTGTTATAAATGGTTTACTTTTCCTCAGAGTCTTATCATTGGCATATTCTATTTTTATATCCTTATTTGTCTGTTTTCCCCTACCAGGCACAGAGCCTGCTACATAGCAGGTGTTCAACCAATATTTGCTACATTAGACGAGTGAATTTTCTATTCCCTTGCCCTTATGTATTTTCATGAAGCCCCTGAAGTTGCATTTATGTGTGGTGTCTGTCCCCTTGACTGGAATGTCAGGTCCCCAGGGCAGTGCTCTTTATCCTTTGGGAGGTTGCTGGAACTCCAGACACAGGTGTGGGTATTTCTCGAGGGAGGAGGATGACACTCCCCTAAGAAGAGCTGGTCGAGAAGGAAGGAAAGAGGCCATAGGACTGAACCCAAGAACACTGACTTTATGGGCCACCCAGTGGAAAGAAGGAACAGCCTGATTGGCTGGGCAACCATGTGGAGTGAGTGTCCCAGAGGACTCTGGGAGGGAAGGCTGTGGGAAGCAGCAGGTATGAGACTGAACTGTCCACTGACTTTGGCCACAAGTAGAACTTTGGTGACCTTGTCAAGAGCAAGTTTAGGGAATGAAGAGAGAGCTGACAGAGACAGGAAGAAGGTTTGGGACGGGAGAGGCTGAAGGTATGTCTTGTAGGTACAGTGAGATTTCCAAGTTGGCCTGACTGGAGGAAAGCTGGGCAGAATCAGGTACCCCTGGAGGGGCAGCGAGCCTGTCTCCCCTCCTCAACAGCCTCTGTAGGAGAGGAGGTCATCCGTGCACACTGTGCTGTAGCTGCTTCCCCTCCAACACCACCTCTGTCCACCAGACCAGCTGCAGACCCACCTGTGAGGAGCACTTGGTACTGGAAGAGGCGCTGGACCACTCGCAGCAGCCAATGTTTCACGTTCCGGTCCTCCTCTTCTTGCAGACCCTGTAGCTCTCAGACAAGGAGGGAAGCCCCATTAGCAAGCCCTGTCTGAGGTCCTGGGCTCACAGCATTTTCCCTGACTGTTTCCCACACCTCCTTCTGGCCAACCTTAAGCTTCTCTCCCATCTTCAAACTCAGGTTCCCTCCCCGAGATCAGCATGCCCCCTGTGCCTGTTACCCCCTTCAGGCTCACAGTTGGTGTCATACTCAGTAACAGGGCTCTCCAGGTCCCTGCTTCACTCCCTGTTTTATAAATAGAGGACAGCCAGAGACCATGTGCAGTGTGTGGCCACTGTTGCTAAGTGCTTTGGTCACCCCAAGGTCTGGGAGCCTAGGTTTACTCGTGCTTCTCAGTGGAGACAATTGCCAGAGGGACCCTTGGTCACCAGGGTCACCCAGCTATCATCAATGGCTGAGGAGGGGAGGCCCTGGGTCCCGGGTTTCTACCCTGATGGGTCATTCTTTACCCCTTGACCAGGTCTTCTCCTCAGCCTGACTTGGTGCCCGATTTATGTTTGTTAAGCTATTCAATAAGGAGCTCTGGCAGTGTAGTGGTTACGAATCAGGCTGCTAACCTCAGGGTCAACAGTTCGAAACTACCAGCCTTTCTGTGGGAGAAAGATGAGGCTTTCTGTTCCCGTAAAGATTGACAGCCTTGGAAACCCTGTGCAGGGTCACTGAGTCGGAACTCACTCCATGGCACATCACTACCACCACCAAGCTCTTCAGTGCCCACTGATACTCTTACATCATTATGCAAGGTTCTCAGAGAAGCATGGGGGCTCACCTCGAACTCGCGGACAGCAGCTGCCAGCCGTGGAGAGTGGCGGCAGTTCTCATTGAGCAGACCCAGGTACCTGTCGAACTGCAGGACGTGAGCCGCATGGTGGTCAAAACCTTGCTCCTGCGCCAGGAAGATGTCAGCCACCTTCTGCTGGCCCTCCCTGCAGCCAGGGAGGGGATGGACAGACACCTCAGCCTGGGGAGTGCACTCAGAACTGACTTAACACTTCTGTGTCTGCCTTTCCCATCAGTAAAATGGGGACATGTGTCACATGGTGGTGTTTTTATCACCCCTCCACCTGACAGTGGGAATCCCTGGGCAATGCAGATGATTAACACGATCACTCCTAATTGAAAGGTTGGAGGTTCAAGCCCACCCCGAGGTGTCTCAGGAGAAAGGCATGGTCACACAGTGCAGCTCTACTCGGACACACATGGGTCAGTCACCATGAGCTGGAACTGACTTCATGGTTGGTTTGGGACTTTGGGTTTTCTGTACCCTAAGGAAAGGGGTTGGAGAAATGCTCACCAGTGTTCCAGCCTCTCCTCCAGCTGTTCCAGGATCCCTCGGTGAAGCTCATGGATGGCTGGGAGGTAGCTCAAGCCAAGCCTCAGTGCCTCTCTGGAGACAGTATCCTTGCCTTCTTGGTCCATCTCATCCAAGGTCCTCATGATAGCTCCGTGGAAATCCTGAAACCCCCAGAGGTCTATTACCCAAGGCTGAGAGGCCTGAGCACAAGACACCCCTTGGCTGGGCATGGTCAAGCATGTCCCACCTGCTGCATGGGAGTCCTGGCCTCCACAAAGAAAGCCTAGTGACCGGAAGCCAGTGTTTCTGGACCCAAGGCTCCACATTTAGGTATGCTGGGCAGGAAGGCCTAAGCCCGACTGCCCAATATCAGCTAATGAAACCTCACAGACCACAACAGTCCCATCCAGAGCTGACCAGGGGCAGGGTGCAGGACCCCGCAGAGGCTTTCTGTCAGGTAACTCCACGGCAGCTGCAACAACAGAGAAGCATCCTGCACTGTTCCTAGCACAGCGTGGGGCTTTGAAGGCAGCACTGTCTCCCTGCTTTCCCAGGGAGTATGGGGACACTCTCTTTCCTTTTTCAAGAAGGGTGAAAACTAGGCTGATGTGTTCCCTTCCCTGAAGGAATATAATGGTTTGCTTTATTGTTATCCATTTCTGAAGATGTTCATAGGATGTGTGATTTCTAAACACAGTCTACAGAAAGCACTGCGCACCCACTCTACAGAGTACTAAGCAGTCACTAAAATTCACGAAGATGGAAACTATGTAAAAATATTCAGGGTCCGTGCAAAGAAATCAAGAAGGTATATAAGGTACTAAGAAGGTTATTCACACAGACTTGTGAATAACACTGCATAAAAACAACAACAAGGAAAACACAACAAAATATACACAATGGCTTATCTCAAGGACATGAACCTAGGAATGATTTTTTTTCTTCTGGAAAAAAAAATCTAGAAAATTCTGATTTCTAAAATTCCTATATCGTGATTATTTTGCTTTTGAAATTGAATTTAATACATACTAAAATTGTAAAGAAGGTAAGATTACTTTCAGGAACAGTTGGTTACTCAGTGGCAGAATTCTTGTCTTACATGCGGGAGACCTGGGCTCATTTCACAGTCAGCACCTCAAGGAGTAGCCACCTGTTTGTCAGTGGGGGTCTGCATGTGGCGCTGGTGCTGAACAGGTTTCAGAGGAGCTTTCAGACCAGGACAGACTAGGAAGAAAGGCCTGGAGATATATTTCCGAAAATCAACTACTGAAAGCCTTATTGCTGACACTGGATATGGGACCCACAATACACCATGGGGATGGCACGGGACTGGGCCATGCTTTGTTCCGCTGTGCATGGGGTTGTCAAGAGTTGGGGGCTGATTCAATGGCAATGGGCAACAAAATTTCTGTCTTACAACAAAAGTATTTTATTCTGGTTCCAGGACAAGCTGTTGGAGTAGGCAGATTCACTAACAAACCTTCTGCAACATGGATATGGGAGACCAAGTGGAGCATTAGGGTGGTGATCCTGGAACTCTGAGCGTCAGAGGACAGGGCAGAGAGGTGGACTGAGTGCCCACTGGAAGAGGAAGCTGAACAGGAACAGCAAGAGAGAAGGAGCACGGGCGAGCTGTGGGCTGGCGTGGAGCCGCACGTGTGAGCTGTGGGCTGGCATACAGCACCACAGCCACCTTGAGTTTTTGCAAGTGACTATGGAGTCCTGGTGTGGCACTGTGGGTTAATGCGCCAGACTGCAAAGTCATTTGAACTGCAAGGTTGGTGCTTCTAGCTCACCAGCTGCTCCTTGGAAACACTACACAGGGTTGCTATGGGTCAGAATCAACTCGATGGCACTTAACAAACTGATATAGTGGCCTGGAGGCAGGGCACAAAGCAAGAGGTTGGTGGCAAATGGTATGCTCCCTTGTTTCCCAAGTCCTCACAGTAGACAGGGACATGGCCGATCCCTGCCCTTGCCAATCTAGAAGCCTCTTGCATGACCTCTGCTCTGCATGGGGTCAGGCACCAGGCATAATATTCCTGCTTCTGGAGGGCACGAGACCCCACCATGAACTACATGATACAAACAGTGAAGAGAGAACTACGCTCACAGTTCCAGTCTCTACCACATCCACCAGGAGACAGGTGGGGAATGCCAGAGAACATACCAACATACAATTATTCACTAAATATAAATTCGACACCACAATGTCTTGGAGAAAATGGACAATTTCAGCTTGCAGCAAGAAACGAGACAGAGTGCCTCAAACAAGTGAACAAAATAGAGTCAGAAAATATAATACCAGATATGGTATCAGACCTATATTTAAATAAGGAATTTAAAATAAGGCTATTTAGGTACTTCAATTGACTGAGAGAATGAGAAGATTACAGATTAAATCAAGGAAAACACAGGCAAAATTTTAAAAATAATTCAGGAAATAAAATGACAAAGTAAATGAAAAATAGGAAACCATACAAAAAGAGCAATTAGAAAATCAGATTAATATTAAAACTTCAGAAATAGGAGATATATTGAAAGGGAAAAGAAGAGTAACTGAATCAACAGAAAACCAAATCGGTGCGTTTGAAAATAACATTTTCAATATTCATCTGCTAAAGGAACAATCAGAAAAAAGAATAAAAAATCTGAAGAAAGCCTAAGATTTATGTGGGGCACAACCAAGAGGAATAACATGTGTGATTGAAATTCCAGAACACGATGAGACCAAACAAACAAATCCAGAAAAACTGTCCAAGAGTTGTTAGAAAAAAACTTCTCTAACATCATGAAGGATGAGAAGATAGCCATTCAAGAAGTTGAAAGAACTCTAAACGGGGTAGATCTCAAAGTAAAAACATATTAGAATCAAAATTTTCAAAACCAAAGACAAAGAAAGAATCCTGAGAGCAGCTCAGGAAAAATGAAAAGATATCTAAAGGAGAACCAATACGAAAAATCACTTGACTTTTCAGCAGAAATCATGCAAGCAAGAAGAGAATGGAATGACTTTACAAAGAAAATTCTCAAAGAAAAAATGAGTTTATATATAAAACTTTGAAAGAAAAAAAATTGTCAACAAAGAATCATATACCCAGCAAAATTGTCCATCAAATATGATGGAAATTTAGGTCATTTTCAAATAGACAGAAATTAATAGTATTTGTAAGAATCGGACCAACCTTACAAAAAATACTAAAGGGAGTTCTTTGGATGAAGGACCAACAACAGCAGACAACTTAAGACTAACATACATGATAACATCACCCAGAACTCAACCCAGACATAGAAATATTAAAAGTAAAAACAAACTTATTATGTTGTTGTTATGTGCCAACAAGTTGGTTTATATCGAGTGATCCTATCTAGGGTTTCGAAAGAATGGCTGGTGGGTTAGAATGGCCAACCTTGTGGTTAGCAGTGCTTATCTTACAGTGCCACACCAGGGCTCCTACAAGACTGGAAAAAGGGAACCAGCCATATAGTTGCAGCAGCAACAAGAAAACATAAAGTAAAAAGAGGGAACAATGTAGTTCCAAAACTTCCATATGAAGAGGAAAACAAGCAGATTTCAAAAATAAATACAAAAATAAAAATAAGTCTAACTGTAACCCTAAAAACTAGACCAAACCTTACTCCTGGCTCAATCCCAACTCCTACCTCTAATATTAATCCTAGTCCTAACTGTAATCCTAATACTAAATGAAGTCCTAGTCCTAGTCTAGACCTAAACATAGTCCTAATCCTATCACCTTATTTACACCCTCACACCCCCAAAATAAAGATTTCACCAACAAAGAAATAAATATTTGTTTTTAATCTGCTCTTGCATAAGGCCCAGTTCCAGTTTTAAACACACTGGACTCCTGAAGCCATCTTGAATTACAAGGCAGTATCAATAGGAAAATCTCAGGGTCCTGGAAGGAATTAGCGTTGGACAGTCGGCAAAGATGATCAGCTTGCTTTCTTTGATTGCTTCCCTCAATGGGAGACTCACTCTTGGATAACAAAGTCAATAATTCCATTGTTGAACAGTTTTCACTGATAAAGGTCCAAAGGGACAAGTGCCTGTGAGGATGAGCAGCCCCCTTCAGGAGTCCTTCCTGGTCTTCTCAGCACCCAGTGAAGGAAAGGAGGGAAAGGAGGCAGAGAAGGAAAGGTGGAGACTGAGAGACCTCCGAACATCTGCAGAGAGGCATTCTGCACAGCCAGACCAGAGGACAGCAGATGTGGAGGTTACAGAGGTCTCCACTTCCTGAACACCTCATCCTGTCCCATGCTGACCTCCCACTGGCTCAACCTGCTCTGCCTTGAGGGGAAGATTCTGGGAGGGTGGCACCTGACACCAGTCCTCTGTTAGCCCAGCTCTCTGCAGGTCCTGGAAACCCTCAGCCCCATTATAAAGATCTGAATGATCAGGAGTCAAATCGTGAACTACTGAGTAAGTTCTCTGGACTCAGGCCACACGCTTGAGTAAGAATTAGAATCTCATTGTAGGGGAACTAGCAGAGTCTTCCCGAAAGCACATTTCAGAGGCTGAAGAGAGTGTGGTGTGAGGAGGATAGCTAGAGGAAGAAGAATCACTTTTATATACATATAGAACTTGGAATCCTGGTATGGTGCTGCAGGTTAATGCACTAGACTGCAAGGTCAGTTTGAACCACTGGGTCAGTGGTTCAAGCTCACCAGCCGTTCCTTGGAAACCCTATACAGGGTTGCTGAGTTGGAACCAACTCGATGGTACTTAACAACAACAAATATAGTAATTATACATGCATATACATTTTATATAAGGAGCTCTTGTAGTGTAGTGGTTACAAATTGTGCTGATAATCTCATGGTCAGCAGTTGGAAACTACCAGCTGTTCCATAGGAGAAAGATGAGACTTTCTGTTCCTGTAAAGATTTACAGCCTCAGAAACCCTGTACAGGGTCATTGTGAGTCAGAACCGACTCCATGGCATAACAACAACAACATATATATATATAAACACACACATATATATATATATATATACACATAGTTTTTTTTCTCTCTCTCTAGATATATATACAGTACTGATGTTGTGCTGTAGGATCAGTATTCAAACCCACCAGCTGCTTCTCAGGAAACCCTATACAGTGTTACTATGGGTTGGAACTGAATAGATGGCACTTA